AATATAAAATAGATGCTATGGCGCGAGATCGTGGATTTAGGGTGATTAGACTTCCGCCGTACCATTGTATATTTAACCCCATCGAACTAATCTGGTCGCAAATGAAAAATAATATAAGAAGGAATAATACGGCACCAAAATTTAGTAGTGCAACAATTGACATAATTAGGGAAGAAGCTTCCAAAATAACTGCCGAAATGTGGGCCAATTGTGTACGACATTCCACAAAAGAAGAAGACTAGTACAGGGCACGATTGATAACACCGTTAATTATTAATTTAGAAGAGTCGAGTGATGATGACAGTGACTATTTCGATCAATAAATAAGCAGTAGTAGTTAATAAGTAAATAGTTGTGCTGTAATAAAAAATGATTGAGTACAAAGTTACTTTGTTTTTACTTAAAATAAAAAACTCGAAAGGCGCAGTTGTCGGTAAATGCAAAACTCAGTCCTGCCCTGTGCTTTTACGAGAAAAGGTCTTTACAGGTAGGTATCGGTGAGCGGGTTTAAGACATCCGGTTGTGACGGTCTATTGAATTATAATGGGAGTCAAATTGGTGTGAAGTCATAAACGCCAAATATGTTTGAGGATAGTATAACACGGCTAAATCTACTGTACTGTGAAAAACATTTTACATCCCTGCAAATCTAGTTCAGCATGTACTCTCCCAAAATCTTTGCATAGAAAATGAAGCAAGGGCAACTGAAGCATTTTGCCGTAACATCAAACTGACAATAAGACAATGCGGTTTGTACATTTTTAGTGGCATCGCCAGACGGCTTAATAAACAAAAACGCTATCGTAGAAATATATAAAATGTCCAATTTAAATAATGCTTAATTCAACGAGATGATAAATTTTTATTTATATGCCTTACTTCCGGAGAGAGTAGATTCTCGTTATTAAACAAATAAACCCATTAGACAAATTGTAAAGAAAAAATTGTACAATTAAAATTTTTTATTTGCATTCGCGTCATATGTAGTTCATCTAAATCTTTTGCCCTTCTAGTATAAACACACACAGGAATTAGGTTTACTGGAGATATCACCTAAAAAACGTGCCTATAATATTCTACCTCATAGGTGGTGCGGAAAATAGTATCAAAAAATTTAATTTAAATAAATATGATTGTTCAGGTAAATAAGTGGTTAGTGAAGTGATGAGAATCTAAATCTTGTCAGTTTTGTGTATAATTATTAATATATATAAAATGATAAAAAATATTGAATAATTTTTTGAAAGAAAATATTTTAGTAGAATGTCAGTAATGAAAGAAATCGACTTGTAAAAGAGTTTCAACAATGTTGGTCAGCTAAGAGTATTATCACCCAAAGTACCTGAACTGATTATCTGAAAGGCCTGATACTGAAAGGGTCGGTCGGCAGGCTCCCTGCTGTGAGTGCTGTGTAAAACTCAGCCATTTATTGAAACGGATCTTTGTAAATAGGGTTGCCTAGTTTCACTTTATTTTCATTAGTCAGTATTTTTTTAAAAAACAAATATTTTAATAAATATAAATTTTAAACAAAAATGACCGGGTCTTCCCCATAGAGCTCAATGTTGTCTTTGCATTGATATAAAAGTTGAAGCGAAAAATGCTCTCTCCTCGTTTAAAAACGCAAATTCCTTCGAAGAATGAACGATTAATTAAACACTAAACATTCACTTATTTTAAAAAATATTGTGTCTTACCCAGAGATTTAGACATAATCTATCAATTTAAATGTCGATCTTTTTTTTAAAGTTGAAATTACGCCTGTAAAATGAAAATCTATTTAGCTCATTTTTCGGTCTGCTACTGGGCACCCTTAAGAATTGGAAGGGCATAGGTAGGTATATTTTGTGTTCCTGCAGGTGTCTCAACTAATACAGAATTACTGACATCGTGAACATCAAGTATTTTGTGGGAAATACATTTTCCTTTGATGTATTTGTAAAAAAAAGCGATTGCTGGAAGATTATTTCTTATATATATTCCTATATGTATACTATTTCAAATGAGTGTTCGAAAAAAAATTGAGCTCTTCTCTTCTATATTGTCTATTGTTAATGTAGTTAATTTGTCTCGCTTCATTGCTCCAAATATTCCAAATATTACGGCAACCTAGACATGTATTTATTATTTAAGTGATAGGAAATATTTAATTTACCTTGATTGGTAAATAACTTTCGTCGTCTGCTTCAGTCAAAAACAGTTGCACATCTTTCTTTGTGAGAACCTTCGACTTTTTTGCTAGATATCGTCTTGACAAAAGGCACTAACGTTGAGTACCGCATAATATCGATATTTTCATAGATGTTCAATGTAGATTTCAACATGTCGAGCACAATGTTGAAGATTTGACGCTCTATTTAAACCCATACTTCCTTCTAGATGTGTGACGATCGGGATCTTTCTGGAATACCAATCACGAGTTCCGCTCCTGTAGCGAACGCCATCGCCGGATCATCGGCGATGAGTCACCCGTCATTGCCGGACGTACCTACGGGACAGCTCTCGATGGCCCATAGGCGTCGTATCGGGGCAGCGTATGGTTTTATTTCGAAACAATATACTGACCGGTAAAAAAAACGACCATCCTGAAATATTTCGCAAAATCCCTTTAAAAATTGTTAATTTAAACTAGTGATTGTTTCGTTTAAAAAACCTTTCAATGTTGACACAGGATATTTTGCTAAAAAAAGAGAGACAAATAAAAGCAACCATTAGTTAAAATATAATTTTTAATGTGTTTTTGCAAGATATTTCAAGGTGATCTCTTTTTTTGCCAGTCAGTGTAATTTAAATTACGCTTTGCAGTTGCAGAAAAAACGTTGTTTGCATTTGCTGTGTGAAATCTAGTTTATTTAATGTCATTTGAATATGATGAAAATTCATGTTGTTACGATGCTCAGTAATTAAAAATCGGTGTGGGTACAACTCAAAAATTTATTTCTCAGTAGTACTAATTTACAGTACTATACTTACAGCGATTATGTACAGAATAATTCCGGCTCGACTTAGACTCTAATATTCTCTCGTTGACTGGACTAAAAACTAGCTTGCTTCCGACAGTGGTCCCTATTTAAATCATCATATGTTCCTCTGGATGGTTCCCGAACGCCGCCTCGAGGTTTTTCTGGAGCCCGCCATCGAGACTTCCGGCGACCCGCTCCAGGCTTTTCTTTATACGAACACCGCCCGGCCGCCGTCACCGACCTTGAGTTGCCGTACATACTAGAAAGCCCTCGAGAAAACCCATAGGCGTCGTACCGGGGCGACGCATGCGTTTATTTCGTAACAATATTGTCATGCGATTAAAAAAAAATCACGCACTTAATATGGAATGTAAATGCTAAACTTATTCAAAAAAATACTTTAAAAAGCACAATCGGAAAATGGACCCATTCAAAGATTTAGTATTTGAAGGAACTCGTAAAGCCCGCACAACTAAGAGAAAACAATTTCAATCATTACCAGAAAAAAAAAATAGTTCCACAGCTTTGACAAAAGTGTTGAAATTCAAAAGATTTTCAAAGTTTCGACGAAAACACGCCCGAAGGCTTGCAGAGAAATTTTTTTCAAACTGCAGCTGTACAATTAACCTGGCGTAGGAATGAAACGACATATGTCAAATAAATAATTATGAGATACCAGCGGGTCGCTTAGAGTATAATACTATTTTTTGGAAAAACAACCCAAGGAGGTGAGAAAAATTTGGCTGAAAGCAAGTGGCTGACATCAAACAAATGTTTGGTACAATAACTGTCTCGTTGATTTAAACCATATTGGTATGTGGATGCATTTAGGTGCAGAAAATGTTGCCTAAAAAGGCAAGAATTAGGAACCATTCTAACCGATCTTCGGTAGTGGGTGTATTAACGAGTTCTGGTGTAAATTTACAGGAAATAAAGTCATTCCACGCCAAATTCGTTGAAACCTTACCTAGCGAACAACAACACGCTAAAATCATAAATCAGATTCAAAACAATTCAGATACTCCGTCGACATCAGGACCATCCTACTTCTTCCTTGCACCAGCAGGAACATTTGAATGCACACGATGTCTATTATAATAATTGTACGTTCAATTTTTATAAATAATAAAGAAATAAAATATGACATTCATTATATAAACGTAACGAATACCACTCGGCCATTAAAAAATAAATCGAAAATACTAACCTCTTAACTCGACGCATTATTAGAAACACATTCGACCTGCGGTCCTGTGGTGTTTCAGATAATACGTATCGTTAAATTAGTTAGTATTTTCGATTTATTTTTTATGGTCTTGTGATATTATAACTACTCTTCCGTATTGTAACTATTCAGTTGCTGAGATAAGATGAAACTCGAAAGGTGCTCGAACGAGTCTTTCTTTTGTAAAGTAGGCACCCAGTTATACACTTACGTTTGAATTTCGCTGTAGTATCTCACTGACTGCACCTAAACACGACAGGAATGCCATTTTAAAAATAGAAATTAAGGATGAGAGATTTTAAGCTACATGATATTCATGATAATAGGACTAATAGCTAATACCAGACAGGGTAATATTGACATCAAATAGAGGAAGAATACGAGTATGTAGTTAAAATTAAAGGGAGTATTTTAATGGTTCGAATGTGATGTTTACAGGAAATTTCTTATTTGTGCTGAATGTTAGTCCTCCTGATAGCAGATGTCGCCGGCTTGAATTCCCCCATTCTTTATTTATAATCGTCCGGTGAGCGGAGAGACGTGGAAGAAACCTGGCTTTAGAACGCTTACCATGCGCGTTTCAGGTGCGCTGTAGTCGTTGCGTTGTCTAGATTCTTTGTACCATTCCTGGCATTCCAATAACAGCCAAACTCCTCATATTTACGGACCAAAATCCGTCCTAATTATCCTAAGAATCGGCGAGACGCCCCGCACTAATATTTTTGGTGAGTACTTATCAGTTTAAGGCCAGTTTTCATACAGTTTATGCAGTGTTTTAGGCTAAATATCCGTTAGAATGTGAGCAATGTGTCCACAATTCCTCCAATACTTTACATACTTGTCATGCTTGCTGTTACGAACTTGTGACGACTGACATCGTCGGCGGGTTTCGGTCTCGCTTCAATTTCGAACACAAATTCGACAAATTGTCGAAAATCGCCCGGAAAAATTTATTTAAACGTCGATTATATCGATCGGGATTAAAGTGAATTGTGAAATTGTGCTGGACGATGTTGTGCGCTTGCTGGACGCGATTCCGCCGTTTGTTGTTAATCGCTGTCTCGCCACTTTGTTTACAACAACCGCCAGCGGCTATTGGACAGTGTTATTGTGCCGATTTTGTGTGATACACGGGGGTTGCTTGTAATTAATCATGAGTCCGTTGCGGCAGTGATTTTCCTGGTGACTGTGCCGATTTCCGACGGATTCCTGGATTATAACCACCTGTTCTTCGTAACAACAAACGGGGATGTACTTAGGTATTGACACTGTTTGCAGTTTTCAAACATTGCTGGCGCGCTAAGCCTAAACTTGCAAAAACTGATGGAAAAAGGAATTGTTTTAATGTTTTGTTTTATGTGCGGAAAAGTTTTATTATACCACGATGTTCAGGCAGCAACTTTTTGATTTCACACATCACTGTCATTCAGACATTTTTGCTATCAGAGGAGCAATTTATGCGAAAATTGGAATTCGCCCACTTTGATTTTGTGCAAAATAGCATTTGACGGACACGCGAGCAGAATTATAAATCGTTCGAATAACGTAAAATTGTAATTGGTAATTGTGTTTATTGTGATATTCAAAGGTATAATTGCAACAGTGATTACACACGGTCATAATTAACACAGTCATTTTGATTGCATTTTTTTTTTGCAAACTAAAATCTGTTTTGTTTGTCTATTTATTTTTATTTAATAAAACAGACCATCGGTAAAAACTTCCACCGCAAATTTTGCATATTGCTAATAATAAAAATTAGTATAACCATATTACTCAGTCTGTTCCTATTTTAAGAACATGCATTGACTAATTGAACTTTCCCCTGTTGTTTTTCTTAGTAAATATTTAATTTCAAAACTACGACAACTTTTCCCCGAGAGTCAACTTTGGTTGTTATTAATAGACAAAGTATAAAAAAATGTCGCATGCTACAACCAATCATTTTCGTATTTTCCATTTTGCCAAGAAAAACTGTCTTTATGGCACTCGGCTAAGCAACGAATTTGATAATTTTACTTTCTTGACGTAACCGGATAGGATAGGTTATGCAATTATTTTTATTAGAACAACTAAATATCAGCATATGATTTTCATTAAGGACTTAATTTTTTTCTATGCCTACGCTAAAAGAATTTCTACACCGTCAATTTTTTGATTGACAATTACGTTTTTAGGACTCCAAACTCTTTACTTATTAAAATTTATTTTGTATAAAAAAATTCTTGACGTTATTACAAAAAAAGTTAAATAGCTATTTTTTCTGTGAAAGTTGAAATGTTATTTTGGAAAAAATCTGTACGTATTTTTATGAAATATTTTTCGTAGACAACATACGTTTCTGATGAATTGTATATATCTATATAAAGCAATACGCCCCCATTGAAAATGGCCCGCAGACTTAGAGGGGCCTAGAAAGGATACGCTGCCAATTCGCAGGTTTCTATAAAAGATAATTCCTTAATTATTATTGTTTGAATGCTCATGATCGACTCTATATAATATATGTTGCGTTCTCAATCGATGATCTGCTTTAGACTATAATAATTCCGCTTAAATTAGATATTACATTACAATTTTTTTTCAGTATGCTACAGTTTGTTACAAATTGTTGCAAGAATTGCACTATGTTTTTCATTAATATCTGTAATGAAAAATATATGCTGTAATTACTAATGTTTTCATTTTTATTTCGAGAGTTTTTGAGTTCTAAGTTTTTATAGAAATGAACAGACTTTCACCTTCCACTTATTAAGTTCTGAAAATCTGGGCAACAATTGAATTTATTGCCAATATAATGTAAAAAAAGAGTATTGTATCATATATTTTTACTTTCCGAGCGTACATTTGGGAAGTATTTATCGTAATACCGTCCATTTGGCGAGTGGCTAATTTTTTGTTTTCTCGACGTTTTATAACTCCTACAGTATGAAGAAGTAGGTCTCCCGTTTTCGCCGCCTGTCGTCTGTACATAATAATTATAGAGGTATTGGTTATTTTGCATCTTATACGTTTAGATTTTTTTACATTGTAACTTTCAACTACAAATGTCTAAACTTCTACAAACATTTTAAATTTGTCGCAAACAGGGTAACTCGTTCAAAATTTATTTATTCATCCACTCTAAAAAGTTGATGACGTCATCTCAAAATTTTTCGGGGTAAATGCTATCTGAAATGTACAAAATATAATGGGTCTACATTAGTCGTTTATCAATGCAATTTGTTTAATTAATATCATTATCAGTCGGTGGCTCCTGACTTAATTTTTCTGCATATAATTTCTTCATTGTGCCGATTTTGTGTATTATGTTGAGGTTATTTGTAATCACTCATAAATCCCTTAGGGCAAATTTCCGACGGACTCGGCGGATGATAAAATCGCCTATTCTTCGTAACAATAAACGAATATACTTTGGCTATTGCCACCGTTTTGCGGTTACGAATACGAATTTCAGCCAGTACATACACTGTTTCGTTTTTTGATTTTCTTGACCATTTAAATAATTGGCGCGAAAATCGAAATTTGCCCAATTTAATGTTGTATGAAATAGAAACGAGCAGCAAAGCATTGTAAATCGTTGGAATAAATGATAAAGTCGTGATTTATTGTGATAATTAATACTTTAAATGCATAGCACTGGTAGTGACTGCATATGGTCAAATAAAACAGGTCGGTTGTGGGTTTTGGTTCGGGTTAATTCACACCGATTCTTCTGCGTTTGTGAAATATGAAGCAATGTAAAATCAGTTGTATATATTTTTAATTATGATGATTGCAGCAAGTTTATTATAGATAAGTGAATTAATTGATGAAATAATTTTGGTATTTTAGAGAAAAACAGTAGAATTATTGCAACAAGTTTTCAAAATGTTGAAGTTAATTCAAGATCAGCACAATACAATAATTTAAATTGTACTGTAAAATGCGTACTTTATTACATTTGTTGACATTGAACAAAACTTTTCAACACATAAATGTATGTATACAAATAGACAACAAGGTTTTCTGACCTAAAATATTGACAAGAATTTGGTCGTATTTTTTTACAACAAAGTGAAGTTAACGTAATAACTAGACTAAACTACTTTATCTGTATTATGTTTATGTAGATAGTGTCCTCACATTTGTAATTAATCTGTATTTAATCGTGCGAATGATGGTTTTTCGACATGTTGGGTTTACTCTATTATTTAAAAAGGCTTTAATAGCAGTATTTCCGCAGTTGCTTGAAGTTCTTAATAAGGGGCTCATTATCACACCCTTTTCGTGTGTTGGTTCAACAAATGTGGGTGCAATATTATGGTGTCGTCATCAAGATTTTGCAGGAAAGAAAGACATAAATTTTTATTATCAATTGATCATATTTATGGGATCTTTAAAATGATTGCAAGTTGTATTTTCTAAGTGAAATTGTAAAATTTTGAATTTTTTCTCAACATCTAGATACGTACGAACAAAATTAAGCCGGGCTAGTAAAGTACAAGTATAGCAGCATATTATTATATGAAATTTGTTAGGATTCACTGAACAGAATTTTGTTAGCTACATAAATTTGAAAGAATGATGGTGGAGATAATGACAGAAATTTTGGTCAGTGTTTTACCATCTACACGATTTTCCTAGAACACACCTAACAATTCGTTTAGTAGTTTCGAAGATTATTTGTCACCAGGAACGGCAGACATACTTTTTATGTTCTAGGCGTTATGACACGTCCAGTAACATGAAATTAGCCAATCGCCAAGCAGATCCTATGACAATCCTTCCTTAATTTACGTTTGAGAAGTAAAATATGATAAAATTCAATTTCTGTTTTTATATTGCAGTCGTTTTGATGCGACTTCTTAATTCCACACATCACTGTCCATAGATACTACAGTCATGATGTGCAAAACAGCACTCGACGAGAATCAGGCGAGTAGAAAGGTTATATATCTAGAAATAAATCGTTGAAAATGATCGAGATTGCTAATTGGCTTTTTGCGGTAATTAGTACTGCACATAGTTATGACGCAATTGGGCATACATACACTGGCAGATTTTTTCTTGAGTGTAGCTAACTCGGATTCTTCTGAGTTGTAAACGTTTTTTAATATCTTCCTTTAAAAACAGTGTTAAAAATTACGAAGGAACATTGTAAATATTTTTCAAGCTTCCTGTTTCGGTTTTTATAGTTTAGCAGAAGGTTAATCTTAATTTTCCTCTTGTATCGTCTGGAGGAAAAGCAACCGAACTTTGTCATTTTTCTTATAAGATAATAGATTTAATAATTTCTTTAATAAAACATTGGACGTGCGCAGTTTTCTTAGATATATATTTTTAATTATTTTTTTCGGAATTGCACAAATGTTCACCAAAAACATAAGGCAATTTTGCGGAGATTTCATATTTGTGCGGTAATATTTTTTGCAAATGAAAGGTAACCAAGTAATTCAATTTATTGAAATTGTTAATTTACGACTCGAATAAAATTGATTTCATTGATTGATTGATTCTGTGGTTAAATTTCTTTGGTATGAAGAGATTGAATTCGTATTTAAAATTATAACGAGCAAATGGTTTGTTTTTGTCATCATTTGTAATGTAACTAATGTGATGTGCCAGTAAAAAAATAATTACTATGAACGAAAACACTGATGGCAAGATGGTATACATTATGTTGATACCACAAACAAACTAGAAATGTGGATCTCGGTATCTGTAAAATTGCATCATTTTATCAAGTTTCTAACAAAATTAAAATGTAATATAAGAAATCACATTGTATTCATATGTTTCGATGTATGCACTTACGTATTTAGTATTAAGCGAGCCTTGAAAGAACTTCTCATCTTAAATTGTGGATATGCGAAGACTGCAGTTTCAATTGCTTTTTTATATATTAATCTTTTATACCTCTCAGGCTGCCATAAAATTCATACATATGCTGTGTAGTACATTATGTCAGTTGAACATGGCAGAAAGAGTAATTTCGAAAGGCAGCTTTTTTTTTTTTTCACACAAATGAAAAGAAATAAGTGTTCATGGGTGCGATTTTGTTTCTCGATCGAAGCGATAAAATAAATGTCATTACGTAGGTTTTAAATGCAAAAGTTTGCATTTATTCTTTGCATATAAGCTTATCAATTGCTCAAAAGTTTACAATTACCCTAATTTTAAGAACTTATAACTCAGAATTACGATTTTGAACTTCTATTTTGACATAAATTTCGAGGTTATGTCTCCAAAATTTATCACTTTACTCAGAGCTATCGAT